TCCCAGAAAATACTAAGAGGAAGGCGATGTGGGCATACAGAATGTTCGACGCTTGGTCACAATGGCGCCAGGAGATCTCTCAAGATGGAAGGGAAATGCGTTTGGTTGATAAAATTCTCTTGGTTTACAAGTCAGAAATAAATATGATGCCAGAAGTTGACCTCAACGAAGTATTACATCAGTTCATCGCAGAAGTAAGAAAAGACGGTGGAGAAAGGTATCCTGGAAAAACACTGTATGAAAAACTTTATACGTTGTAGTTAAATTAAAATGGAAATTTTTGTAGTGTAATTAAAATTTGCTTTAAAGCAAAGTTGTAACGCACAATGGTTTATTTTTTATTCAAGCGAAAAATCGGGGTCATTATTTTAAATATTGGAGGTCATTATTAAAAATAATAACCTCCTGACATTAAATAATGATGTTGCATTAACTTGCGCATGTCGATTCTTGAAAATAATAACCTGTTCAAAACAATGAAAATGTGCATTATTACTTCTTAACGGATACATATCATTTAGGCAAATTTTAAAGATGTTGGTCATCAAATTTATGAGCAAATTATATACTAACTTCATTAAACGAAATTTATTCAAATTTTTTAGTAAGCTTTGCTTACTTAAATAGTCACTCACTGTGATTATTTTACTTACGCTCTGATGGCCAAGCATAAAGACTATTAGAACGCGTGATTGATTTATGCTTATTAAGTTTTGTTGCTCTTTTGAAAAGGACCAGTCGAGCATTTAAACTATGGGACCGTGAGTGTAGAAAACAATCGACGATTCTATTCCACGTCTTCATTCTAACTGTAACGTCGTCGAAGCTGGCTGTTTGCGGCCGCTTTTAGAGCTGACTGAAAATGGTGTCACTCGGTTTTATAGCGACTATACTAACAGCTAACTTTGTTAGTGCTTTGTCGACCGCTGAAAACGGTCTAGCTTCGGAATGTGCCGAAGGAAAGCGGACGCTTCACGAATTCAACGACAAGTTACTTGTTCGAGAAGAAATGATATCTTTCGCCGAAACCACAGGTCAAATTGTGATTATCACAAACGTCGCCTCTTTCTGAGGTTTAACTGTCGAACAGTATCACCAATTGAATGCATTAGTGAAAGAATTTAATACGACTCGTTGTGGGTTGAGAGTCTTTGGCGCTCCTTGCAACCAATTCGGGTTGCAAGAGCCGGGTGAGGGAATCGAAATACTGAATTCAGTGGAATATGTGAGACCTGGAAATGGCTTCAAACCGAATTTCGATCTATTGGTGAAAAGAGACGTGAACGGCAAGAAAGAGAATGTGCTCTATACTTGGCTGAAGGTATGAGTGCCATAATATGATAAAGACCATGGTTTAAAGTGGTCGCAGATACATTTTGAGGCATGGCCGAGATATTTCGTCCCATTTCTTTTTTTTTCTCATCCTTTAGGAGTACATGCTGGCCGAGTAGAATGCGGGCCATGCTCACATGTCAAGTACTCTAATTTTGCAACTCATCTACAACGATACTTAAGTCAAAAAACTTTGACGATGAAAATGTTTTGCAAGATGGCGCCTTGGGTATTACCCTCCTTCTGTGAATGACCCAAATATTACCCAATGAAACTGAATCATTTTGGGGGGCTAGTCACCCTAAAAATAAGTAGGTATAAACAGTAATGCTGTGAAATACAAAAAATTGTTAATGAACATGTACAGTCCTTGCATGCATGGTTGGCTCGCTCGGAGAACAAAATTTTCCCCTACGCGACCACTTTCAGCGACAACTCCCATTGAAAATTACATTTCACGAGATTTAATTGGTTCTGAAACTTTCTTTGTTTTGCCTCACAAAGAAAACAAAGATGCCGGAAAGTTTTGATTGACTTCAAACATCATGGTTGACTGAAAGTTAAATATTGTAATTGTTTCACTGTCGGCAGGTTGGTTTCTATTAGCTATACCTGAACAGCCTTTGTGAAATGTTGGTTTTCAACTCAGAAGCCATACTTCTAAATAACAAATCATAAAGTGTAAGGACTGATAGTACTTCGTTTCAGAAAACGTTAACCAATCACAAGATGTGTTTAGTACAGGATAAACCGAGAACGCGGGTAATAAACCAAGGGCAAATATGCGACCTATATCTCAAGTTAGAGGTTTATATTACCTATATATGTCCCAATCAGTAACCGACTTATTTACTAGTTGAGGAAGTTTTCGAACAAGGCTTTCAAAGATTTCGATCAAGACATCAAGTCTCAAGATTTTTCGAGTTTTGTCGACAATTATCAACTGGTTATGTACAACCTGTATATACATCCCGTGGTACATCAAAGAAAACCCACTCAACTAGAAAATATATATAATATTAGACAAAGTATCATAAAACTGCAATTTTTTCCCCTCTCAGACCACGTGATTTGAATATGCAATAAGCGCCACGAGGTTACGTTCGTGGAAACCTAAATTGAATCTGAGACGCTCGAGCAAAGGATATTCCAATCCCATTTTCTACCTGAAATTTTGGCGAAATCCCAGTCCCAGTTGGATTTTTATTAGAAATCCCAGTCCGAGTCATTGAAATCCCAGTCAATAAAAAAAGTTATTTATCGGTAGAATAAACAGTTTAGTAAGACCTTTTAAGCCAGCGTGTGTGCGCACCGTGTGGCAGAAGCGGTTAATGCGCTGTCTCTTGCCACTGAATTAAGCCCGTTACTGCAGGTCGAGCACATGGGATTTACTTCGGACCACTTCGGTTAAGTAACTTGTTTCCGACATGGCGGTATTTTTCCGCTTGCTTTGCTTTTGAGGTGTATACTAAAAACTAAATGAAGTATATACCGGAAACCAGGCATACATTCCGGCTGTGCATCTGACTTGGAGACACGCATAATCAGAAAACCCAGAATTCCCTTCGCCAGAGTATGCCTGTTCGCAGGTAGTGCATTCCCAGTGGCCAAATCCCAGTCCCAGCAACCCAAATCCCATTTTCCCAGTCTAAAAATAGATCAATCCCAGTTCCCATTTTACCCCTTCAGGACCCTCTTTGCAACTTGCCTCAATCGCTGGCTGCAAAACAAAGTCTGTCGAAGTGTTTAGTGTACGTAATTATGGCCGGAATTCAGTTACTGCCTATTATGCATTTTCAGTATTTGTACAGAGGTTAGTTTTACGACATTTGTCCATTTAATTCTATATAAGAATATCGCACTACTGCTACTAGGAACAAACGAAAATGCAGAATAGGCAGTAACTTATATACACCAGGAAACATTACACTAAACTGATTTCCAGTGCTCTCACTTTTAAGGAATTATCCTTAAAAATAGGAATTTTGAGTTTGAGTTTTAAGGATTTCTTTCAGGAATTCCCGAAACATTTTATCATGGACTAAAAACGTTGGACGGAGAATAACCACGCCACGCAAATGCAATTTAAACTTGAAAGTAGCAACATTATACGCACATAATTATATTCGTATGTTCTCATGTCATAAATGTATACATATGGCGTCTTTCGATTAAAATTCTCAAAAGATAAATGTCAGTATATGCTGTTTCTTCTGAAATCTACAGATTCAGTTCCAAGCTCTTCATGCAGCAACGATTAAAAATACACATGTTGAATGTTTTCTTTATGGCATTATGCTAACAATCAAAAGTTTTTAGGGCTTAGAAACGAGGTTGTAAAATTGAAAACCGGCAAAAAAGGAGAAAAAACCCCACTTTTTCAACTATGTGATCAGGCCAGTGTAGTACTTTTACCAATTTAAGGAATTTTAAGGAAATCTGAGGAATTCTCGAGCTTTTTCTAAGAAATGCGAAAATTTGATTGTGAGAGCACTGCGCTGCTGTCCTCAGAGTGAGGACCCTGATCTCAGAGTGAGGAACCTGCCCTCAGAGTGAGGAACCTGCCCTGAGTGATTTCTACCACTGAGCTATACTATAACTGGAGGACCTGCTGGAAGTCCTCCAGGTATTATACAGCTCAGTGATTTCTACAAGCTATATGTTGTGCAACCACAAAAGTTTTCGAAAAATTTTCTTGTCCGTTCCAATCCACGGATAATTTTCCCGAGTGGAAACTAGCCTTTACCGTCATCAACCTTGTACTACAACTGGGAGAACAAGCAGTGCGAACATAGCTTGATATCGGCTTGACAACAACCTTGTTACAACTTGTTTGCTGATCTGTTGCACGTTTTAACGTGTGTACTATAATGTAACTGGCATTTATTTGTTATTCTAAATTATTTCATATTATTTTCAGCTTCTCTGTCCAAATCCTACCACCCTCATCGGTGATCCATCGGAGCTTTTCTACTCGCCAATACGCACCACAGACATCACGTGGAATTTCGAGAAATTCTTGATCGATCACACAGGGCGCCCTAGAAAGAGGTACGCTCCCGATTTCAAACCGCTGGACATGAAGCAAGATATCCAGAATTTGGTTCAGGCATGTTTGAAAGGAAAACAGCGCAATGTTATCTTCCAAGATCTCTTTGATCAGGTTTAGATAAAATAGTGATTTTCGTATATCGAAGATTTAGTGTGACACAGGGTTTATTTTAACGTTCAGTTCTACACAAAATGTGCAGTTCTAAACCCATTTGTGCAGTTCTTAAAACACAAATGTGCAGTCACCAAACTAACAAAAATAGCCTTAATTAAAACTGTTTCTCATTCACTCGTTACCCTTGTGGATGCTCCAGAAAATTCCAGAAACGTTGTCATTAAAATTAATTGAGCATCAAAAATATAAACGCTTTCTGGGGGAGGACTCCAGACCCTCCTATTTTCCTTACAAATCACTTACGTGCTCGGGTAATGGAAAAGAAGGTAAATTTGGGGCGAGCGAAGCCCCCAAAAGAGATTAGAGTGGGATAACCTAGTATACTTTGCTTCCTCAAATGCGAATTTAAGGTTGTTATATATTGATTATCCATGATTTTCAGTTACATGTTTTGAAACAGTTTTTGTGAGTGGTTGGGTAAAACAAATCTTTGCCAGAACTTAAGGGCCTCTAGATTCAAATTGTTCTGGGGGAACACCCACTTGCACCCGCACCCAAAATCGAGTTTGTCTGGCCTTTCTCCCGGCCAACCACACCATTATTCTGTCACCTATATCCTTCGACGCCCCCCCAGTCAAACACCCGTTGCCTTCGTAACATCCCTATATGTGCAGTTCTAAATTTTTCTTAAAATAAACCCTGGTGTGACAAAGACCTGATCGAGCTATGCAATGGATAGTGATTTTTTTCAAACTTCGTAAAAATGCCTAAAAAAGCTGCACGCGAATCTACAGATACTGACCTCACAATAAACATAAAAAGCTCTCTTGTTTGCAATTAGTAAACGTTAATCTTGCGTGTTATAGGAATGAACGGTCAATTTTAGATTGTTTGAAAAATTCACCATCCTGTGCATAGCGCTATCCAGCCTTAATTAAAACCCATTTCCACTCAGGAAAATTTTCTAAAATGTGATTGACACAAAATTGAAGTTGAAAATTTTCAACTTTTAACAATGATATTGTTCGTGTGGAAATATTTCTTGAGTGGAAATGGGCCTTTAATCGTACTACTGGCCCAAGACGTTTTGAGTTTTTAAGCTCGTGCCAATTTTAAAGCTATATCACACATTATACTTCGTATTCATAAAGCAGCCTCGTACCCAGGCGCTTATAAGGATATAAGCACTTCAAATAAGCAAGCACTACTCGGTGTTCTATAGCTGAGCAGCCTTGTCCTCCCCAAGCACCCCCGCGAGCTCACTCAGCTTAACCGGTGAACTATATATAACACTGAAGTGCTTGCTTATTTCAAGTGCTTATTTCCTTATAAGCGCCTGGGTACGAGACTGCTCGTATGAAACAGTGTTTTTTTACCCAGATAACATTAATTTCTTCATTATATATATTAGTACGGAGTGATTTGTGGCAGTTTTAACTTGAACGTCTCAGGCGTTAGTGTGTGTTAACCGTTGGCAAGGGCAGGTGTTTCTTTATGAGACTTTCTAGACGGCCTGCGAAGCAGGCTAACTGAAAGTATGGTGTAATAGTCATGAATTTTCAATATTATGCGTGCACACTTTTAAATCCTACAAGTTTGCAAATTGCGAAACCCGCAAGCAACAAAAATAGTTTAAAAAATCCCATGATAGCGAATTTATTGTAGATATGATTCCATTAAAACAAAATTTACGATTGTAATTAGCTAGATAAAACTGTAGTTTTTGTAGTTCAATAGAATGGATTAATTGAAAACTGATAATTCTAAGTTGATGATGGCCTGACTACAAAATGCCCGTGGCAGCTGGTCTGGTCTGATGTAAAACTTGATCATTGTAAAGTCTTAAATGCATTCAGCTTTGTAATGTGGAAGTTAAATTGCTCGGAATTATATTAAAATGCAAAAGAAAAGAGTATTTTGGTGTTATCATTGACATTGCTTTTTAAACTTTTACATACACATCCTTGAAAAATGTTTCATGCAATGAGTAATTTATACCATACGTGAACATTGACGTAGCCTGCTCGCAGCCTGAAATTTAAAAGGGGGTAAAATTCAGGCTACGAGCAGGCTAATATTGACGTATCTTCTTAAATTGTCAAATTTAAATCCGCACAATTTATAAATTTGTCAAAGACGACAAATATTACCACAATGGTATATTTGTTAAACTTTATTGAGTACAAATTAATTCAACAAATATTCATCTAAACATGCAATTAAAAAGTGCTGTACTCAAACGGACAAGGCACAAACTGGACGTAAAGTCCATAGCATGGTGCCCCTCCTCTTCCTAACATAGACCTTTTAATTAAAGTCATCGTATACTGTACAGGGGGGTGTCCCCCAAAACCCAAAACTACTGAAACAACGCACTGCTAGAATCTGAACGCCTCAGCACCAAACTAAACGCAAAGATGCGTAAAATATGATCGACAGGATGCATATATTGTGAGTATTGAAGAAATTAAAATATCTTTGTAAGCTCACGATTTTCTGCTCTTGGGAATTTAAAGCAATTTCTTAAACAGTTTCTTTATTCATAAAATTTACTTTTGTCAAGCTTTTATGCACTTATGGACTTATGGGTTCAGAAGAGTGCTAAGGCAATTCAACCCCCAACAACACGCCATCTCAACAGCTTTGGTCCCCTTCGGGGCACCCTGTACAACATATTTACTTAATAAATATGAATATTATGCATGTACATTAGTTTGATTGGTTATGTTAGTTTAAGTACAGTACAGTACAGTACAGTACAGTACAGTACAGTACAGTACAGTACAGTACAGTGCCGACGAAACGAGACATTTTTCAATAATATTCCCGGATGAATTGATTTCATCCGACATTATTTAATGCCCATTTTGTCGTTGTCAAGTAAATTTTCGTGCGTATAAACACTGACAGTAAACCAACAAAAGTTGGCCTCATTAAGCCTGGTGTATTACAGCCTAATGCATGGGTTCAAATCAAGTATTCAACGAAAAATCATCTTAGGGGCTGATTACATGGAGAGTTTTCAGCCCGGTTCCCGGGCTGAAATTTCAACCCGGCTTAAGGGTAAGATCCTATTTCAGCCCGCGTTGTCTAAAATTAATTAACAGATCCCCTTACTAAAGAAATCTTGCATGTATAGACAGCAAATTAGCAAAGTGCCTGTAATTACATTTGTCCTGAATCTGTTGATGGCGACACTTTCACGACCCATATAAGCATCAATTGGATTGTTCATGAGAGTTGCTTTGATGAATTCAATTGCTTTTGATGAATGCACTTATCGACATCAAGTTAAATCAGTAACTTGCTGTAACACGATCGGTCTCTAAAGTCCAGTTATAGGAATCATCATGACCATATCCAGGCTACGATTCTTTGGCACCTAAGTTTTGGCAGGCCAGTAACAATCTACAATAATAAAAAAAGGAATAAACATTTACCACACAACGCAAGTGAACCTTGTATTAACCCACTGAGTTCCAGCGCTCTCCCCTTGACGAGTAAAATCGTCTGGCGTTAGACAGAGTGATATAATAACGTAGGGCGCATTAGGACTTGATTTCCAAGGTTGATGTGTCAATACTGCTTTCAATTCCTATGGCACCCGTCTTGTCCAATCAGGAAAATATGAAGATCATCAAAAAATTTCGATGGCTTTTTTTCTACCAGCACCAGAAGATGCCAGGTCTTCAAGTGTTTAGCTTTTGTTTGACAACAGAGTCGAATACTTTAGGACAAATCGAGGTATAAAACATCAATTTTTTTCCGCAAGAAGCCATTGTTGATCAATACCGAAGAATCCGAGGTACTGACAGTACGAATAAAACATAAGCCAATTGTTTTTCCATACCGCATATAAGAAAATGAATAATCAGCATGTAAAGCGAAAAAGTCTCGGTATCTTTGCGTCTAGTAATTTGAAACGTGACCCTCAAATACTAAAGATGGTGGCAAAAACAAATAAAATGCTCGGTATATACTAAAAAAAATGCTTCGAAAAGTTTGGTGCCCCAGTAGCAGCCATCCCTTTACGCGCGGGAAAAATAACCATTTTTGAGCGGAAAGTGGTTATTTTTACCGCGCGTAATACAAATATATACAAAAATTGCGAACTCCACAAGGCTATATTTTCCTCATTTTAGAACATTTGCAATTTTACTCAATTTAAGATGCTCTTTCTAGGTGTGGTGTTGGATTTCGTTCTTCTTGCCTAGATCAAAATTTCGTCCACAGCTGGAATCACCCATTAAACCAGAACAGTAAAGATCAACTAAACCAGAACAGAAGGACTTGATCTTTTTTCACTGTTTAAAACGCAACTTGTAAAACTAGTACATTTCAAAGTTGTAGATCCTTACAACACGTACCTCCACCTACATACCTCCACCTAACTGCTACTGCCTACACTCCTGACTTTCCTTAGTGTCCTTGCTCGCACTCATTGACGATGACGAAATAAAATCTTCCATGCCACTCTTTTAATCCACTCTACGTCTAGCTTTCTATATCCTTCCTTTTGCCTATTTCATACTTTTTGCCATGTTTTTATTATCACATCTGATGTAAAGCACAGTTTTTTTTGCACTTTCCATATATTCTTCTTTAATGTAATTTTCTATGTAATTTACGTCAAAAGCTTACTAACTTTTGTGCCTAACTCGTTTTTTTTTTGGCACTTCCAGAAAACGTAAAAAAAACTCAAAAACGTTTTTTAATTTGTACGGTGACTTATTTTTCACCTCTATTTTTTAGATACTCTTCATCTTAAGACAGTTTAAAAACTGTGTTTCAAGAATGTAAAAGAACATATAAAGCTATTTGCACGAATTGGCTATGTCACATGATTGAGTTAGGCAAAAGCCTTATTAGGAATACAAAAGAGCATCTGTTCAGCCGAATGACTTAGGCATACGTTAAGGAGTCGTATTGTACTCCGGACAATTTATTTAGACAAAAATCTTACATTCGTCAAAAAATGACTTAGCAAAAAAACGTTAGTAAGCTGTCGCTGCACAATATTGTCTAGTTATTCGTGTGCCAAATTAAAACTGTTTAAAGAAATACTGTCTCTCTTACCAAACTTAATCACTTCCTTGCAACCATCAAATTTCATGAATACGTAACCCAGCTGATCATCTTGTGGTGTATTCATCAATATCTGGCAATGAAAAAATACATTAGCTTTGACTTGATGGGCCTTAGCCTTCAATATTTCACTTTATCTCATCGCGGTTTAAAGTGCCTTATGCAAGATTTCTTATGATTAAATTGTAAAGTTCATTTAAAATCATGTAACTTTTTTTCTCTAAAACTTTGTTATCTTTCCTGTATATCAAGATATTGGACCTTGATAAAATTGTCATTAACTCATATTTGCAAACGAAATGATATAGCTTTGATAGTTCTTAAAGTATATCACTTTCAATGTCAGTGGAATTATCACATGTTGGGCAAGGAAACGTTTTATTTCTAAAAACTCATTATGCAGTGTGACGTCATTTAAGTAACATTTGCATATCAAAGTCGAAAATATTGGCATACAGGAACGATAACAAAGTTTTAGAAAATAAGTTACATTATGATTTTAAATGAACTTTGCAATTCAATCATAAAAAATCTTGCATAGGCACTTTGAACTAGTTTTAATATAAATCTAAAGTGTAAATCTTACAGTGATTTAACTACAAGGAATGTGCAATATTTTCCCAGAGTTATTAAATTTAAGCACCATGTACAGTCTACTTATTTTGCTATACGAAATCACTTTCAACGTTCGATCTCGGGCAAAAATATATACCTTTACGTGATAACAAAATGTTGATATGAAAAGTAAACATAATAACTACTATATCATAGGCGAGGATATTTACAAGCATTTTCTGCTAGAGGACCGGTTGGATCGGTTCTCTTTGCACATCATGTTGCAAATCATCTACCTATATTCTGCAAATTTTAATGTGTTTCGAAAACCGGTAGAGGTAAAATGCTTATAACTATTCTACTTTTCTAGTTATTCTAGAATTTTCTAATTATCCTACATAGGGCAGATTTCTTACCTTGGTGGATAAGTTCATTTCCTCAGTTTGAACCAGTAGCCAATAGCTGGACATTTCCAGTTGGTGAATAACAATACTAACATGTATAAGCTATATTTACATACACAGTTGCATACACATATATATCATCTTCCAAATATTTCATTTTTTTACTCTCTTTTTTTTTTCTCTTTTTCTTTTTTTTTATCTTTTTCATTTTTTTCACTTTCGCATTTCTTCATTTTATTTTTTTTTCATATATTATCATTGATTTTCAATTTTCTTTTTCATTCTTTTTTTTATTTTTAATTTGTATCACATTTTTTTCAACATTTTCATATTGTTTTACAGAAGTGTATAGATAAATAATAAAAGGTTACAAAAATAACGCACCTGTATATGACAGGTATTACAGATCTTACATTGCTTTGGTTATTTTTAACACCCAGAATTTTGAGAAATAACAAAATTCACAATATGGCTGACTACAACAATGAAGTAAAATTAATGTAAAGCTATATATACATTTCCTTGTGTCGCTCACAAGTGTCCCCTGACGCGTACTACTAATCGTCTAAAGTAGTTGCAAAAGAACATGTCATCAGATATGCAATCTAACCCGTTAAAACATAATTTTACTAGGATTAGATCTCCATGTCAAAAATATCTGTTAGTAAATGAAGACTTGCAGACTTGCTCTTAAATAGCAGTACTGTCGAAAAGGTGGAGTTTATAGCTAAAATCTTTGCCTCATGTCATGACACAACTACACCACAAAACTGTTGATACAGTCGTACTAGAATGGGCAAAATGCATTCTAGTATTGTCTCTAGTATTCCTTTTTCATGCATGTTTTTTACAATTGTATAATGTAAAGTTGGAAGCAAAGAAATATTCAAAATGATATTCTGAGTACTCGTCTTCTGTACAAGTACTGTATGCGGAAGGGCAACATTTCCAGTTACATGGTACACAAATGGAACATGTCTATGTTACTTATCCACAAAGTTGACGGATCGTCATGCTCAGCAACCTCAAAGTTTGGCAACTACACAGCACGCACCATATATCTGACGTCTTCTTCGTTATTCACAATCCACCATAAGAAATCTCAAAGAGATTTCTGGAGTATTCAGCTCCATTGTCAGAAATCTTGGAGTATTCAGCTCCATTGTAATTCACTGTCCAATACAAGAAACGATGATTACCGTCGCCATGTTCTGTCTTCTTCATCATCTTCCTCATCAACATCTTCTTGAAGTAGTAATTCCTCCACGTCTTGATCCAACACATTCTCCTCCTCCTCCTGCAACAAATACATCAAGAAATCAGAATCACTAACTTTCGCTAAACACATTCTATTAAAAAAGTTCGCATTCTATCCAAAATGTTCAGATTTTATCCAAAATTGCTAAAATTTCATCTCGCATTTAACGACTTCCGATCACGGTCGGCCTACGAATTTTTGTTACACCGGTACATTTCCCCCTATAAAATAACACTTTTGAGGTTTTTGGATTGGATCAGGTTTAAATTAAATTGTTATATAGCTATAGGGTGAACACCAAACGTGATTGGCTAATTTGTGGTCAAGTCGGGCAACAAGTGAAAAATTGTTGCCCGCCCCGACCGGCTACGTACATAAATAAACAGAATGGCAGCACAACTCGCAAGTTTATAAACTACGATTTTCCAAGTTTGTGTAAACATAAAGAATGTAAAAGAGAAGAAAAATACACAACAGGCAACAGGATATTCTGATTTTTCTTTCGTCGCTATATAACAAAACACTTACGCCTGTATTCAGAAAGCTCACTCACACTCAAAGAGTGTATAGGTTCAATCTCGGCTTCTCTTGAGTGTCAGAAATGTTTTTGAACAGCTGGAAGGCGAGATGTCAAAAGTTAGTTACGACACTAACCCTTCCAGCTATTCAAAAACAGCATGGACTCTCAAGAGTAGCTCAGATTGAAGCTCCACTCTTTGAGTGTGAGTGAGTTTTTAGAATACAGGCGTTAATGTCTGTTACTACAGAATAATAGCTATTCCGAATAAGGAGTGCATAATAATAACACACAATTTATAAAAACTGTGTGTTAATTAAAATAAATTCAGTTTTTATAAATCGTGTGTTATTATTATGCGCACTTCTTATTCGGAATAACTTTTATTCTATATTTGCTGAAATTATCAGGGAAATAGTTTTGTTTTCCCAACAGTCTTAACGTTTCCCTCGACTTCGTCTCGGAAAGCATTGAGACTCTTGGGAAAACAAACCCAACTATTTCCCTCGGGAGCAAGAATTAAGTGTATATTGTTCGCGCTTCTTCGCTTAGCGCTGTATTTCTCGTCCAGGGCCAAGAAGTCAACCTTTCCAATCTTCTTTACACGCCTGTCTACATCTGGTACAAAAGACAATGACATTTGTCTTAACCATTTCATACAACATTCATAAATAGTCTTGACAACTTAACGCCCTGATATCATGCCTTGCGTGACGCCAAATAAATAATAAATCTAACGGAGACTTACCACATCGGCTTGCTCTTGCGAAGTCCCGATGGGGATTTTTAAACTGGCTGGTGAACTCACAGGTGGGCTGGAAGTTGACGTTGGACGATACCAGGATACTTTGAGATTTCTCATGTTAAATGAGGGAACATGTGTGATGGCCTAAATATCAAGAAATACATATTAGTTCCCGTTGTTTTGTATTTCATTAAAATACTCAGTGGTTCCCGTAATATATTACACATGCATGAGTGGAACGGATGTAAGCCAGAACCGGTAGTTCCATTTTCATGGCAAATATATTTCTATTATAAGTTTATAGCAAACCTTTTAACCCGGATGACCTACCCAGATAGTGCCAGAAAATTACCATTGGTCCCCGAACATTCTTGAGTTCTCTGAGTTTGGAACAGCACTGTCACAATTTGTCAACAAGCTTGCTACAAGCCTATTGCAAACTCATCTTGTTAACAAGCTGTTGGAACAGCATTGTCAAAAAATGTTAACAAGCTTCCAACAAGCCTATTGCAAATATATTTTCTTGACAAGTTGTTGGAATAGCATTGTCACAACTTGTTAACAAGCTTGATGCAAACCTATTGCAAACACATCTTGTTGACAAGTTGTTGGAACAGCATTGTCACAACTTGTTAACAAGCTTGATGCAAACCTATTGCAAACACATCTTGTTGACAAGTTGTTGGAACAGCATTGTCACAACTTGTTAACAAGCTTGCTGCAAACCCATCTTGTTGACAAGTTTTGGAACAGCATGGTCACAACTTGTTAAGAAGCTTGCTACAAGCCTATTGAGGAGACATCTTGTTGACAAGTTGTTGGAACAGCATTGTCACAACTTGTTAAGAAGCTTGCTACAAGCCTATTGAGGAGACATCTTGTTGACAAGTTGTTGGAACAGCATTGTCACAACTTGTTAAGAAGCTTGCTACAAGCCTATTGAGGAGACACCTTGTTGACAAGTTGTTGGAACAGCATTGTCACAACTTGTTAACAAGCTTGCTAAAACCCATTGCAAACACATCTTGCTGACAAGTTGTTGGAACAGCATTGTCACAACTTTTAACAAGCTTGCAGCAAACCTATTGCAAACACATCTTGTTGACAAGTTGTTGGAACAGCATTGTCACAACTTGTGAACAAGCTTGCAGCAAACCTATTGCAAATACATCTTGTTGACAAGTTGTTGGAACAGCATTGTCACAACTAAAATGCTGAAATAGCTAATTTGAATTCATGGCTTGAAGTAAACAGGCTATGCTTAAACAGGCTATGCTTAAACATCGCCAAAACCGAGTTCATGGTTATAGGTTCACGTCAAAGAATTGCAACCTTTCACAACCATGATGTAAATGTATACAGGACGTCAATAACGAGCAAATTAATAGAGTTGATAGGTCTAAATCATTAGGTTGAGTAATCGATGGAAACTTGTCTTGGAATAATCATATTGACAACATTACGGAAAACATTTTTTCGGGTATCAGGCAAAATCCCGAGTGGGGCATGGGGCAAAACCATAGAGGGGGTGAGGAAAGAGGGCGAAACCCTTCGATGAAATACATGAGAGAATATATAAAACCTACATTTTCTGCTTGTTTTCGAGTACTGAACGTGATCATAAGTCGATGACTATCTTTATCTTCTTCGACACGGTCTATCTCACCAAATTCCTACAGAGGAAAATACAGTGCACCACAGTTATAAAATACACAAACTATTTGCAAACCATAATATATTATTTTTTTAAATGGGAAAAGTTGTTGAACCACTTTGGGCCGTTTATAAAATAATATAATAATCTCTCCTTATCTCGTTTTAGCGACGACACTGGGGCTAGTTAGGGACCGGTCATTAGGCGGGAGGTGGCAACGAAGATAAAGGGTTTTCTTTGTAAAAATGTTACTCAAATATCAATTAAAAAATAGATATCCACCCGGCCCTAGCCAAAAACGTTACAAAAGGATACCATTCAGTTGTCACACATGTCCACTATCACTTCTGTAACACGAGTTTGATTGTGCAATTTTCTGTGCAACGTTTCATGATGCAGATCTACTTTCTTTGGAGTCACCATTTGCCTCCCAAGAAATTGTATTGTATTGACAAATGACTGTTGACGCTGCTTTTTACTTTTCAATATTTGCGTGAGTTATGCTTTCGAAATGACAATACATTTTCCCCTTAGGTTAACATCGTAGGTTAACGCAAATTTCCCGCCAGTTTTTTTTATAAACATGTACTGACATTGTATTAGTATAGGTAATCATGCGATGGCGAGTACAATTAGGGATTAATAGTACGAGTGATTAATAGTACGAGTTACTCGCCCCAGCCGCTCGTCCAATTTGGCAAACTTCCAAACATCACGAGTACTATTAATCCCTAATTGTACGAGCAACATCGCATGATTACTTGTTTATTATTAGCATATGACAAAATTGGATACTTCTCCATCAACATCATATTCTCTCGCCAAAGGCCCCAGTCCTGCCAGACTTACAACCAAAATTTGGTACTTTTGTTCGTATTTTCATTTAGTTCTTTTGTTAAAGCAAAATTTGGTGCTCTTGTTCGTATTTTCATCTAGTTCCTCAAGGGCAATTTCATTTCACATTTGTGTTCAAAATATACCTTTCCGCCATTTTGTTTGTTTTGGGAAAATCATTAATTGTACTGCAGTACAATTAATGAAATAACTGTACTCCTCTCAACCAATCAGCATCCAGTAATTTTGTTATGCTAATAATAACACACGTAAAAACGCACAAGTTGTTACAAGTCTGCAAATAAGTTGTTACAAATCTGTTCACAAGCTGTCGACATGTTGTGTTCGCACTGCTTGTTCCCAGTTGTTGGAACAAGTTTGGAACAAGCTGTTAACAACTTGGAACAAGCTTGATGGCATTATCAGACTTGGCACAAGGTTGTTCTAACAAGTCTGATGTTACAAAGTTGTTAAGAATGTTACAAAGTTGACGACAAAAAGAATGTTACAAAGTTGACGACACAAGGTTGTAACAACATTGTTATATCATGACCGTATCGGAATTGTTGGAACAATCTTGCAACAAATCTGCTAATATCAACAAGGTTGTTACAAGTTGTTAACAGCTTGTTCAAAATTTGTTGACAACTTGGGACAAGCAGTGCGAACACAACTTGTTGACGGCTTGTTGGCAGACTTGTTACAAGATGTGAGATTTTTACTTGTGTGTTCAATCGGATGGGATGCCAACAAAAATCTTGATATTATACCTTAAAACGCTGTTCTACAAGATGTTTTTCTTCTGCCGTAAATCCTTCAACCAGCAACTGTTTAGGTCGTTTATCTAACACAGCAGCTGATCGGGAGACAACGCCGCGACCTCGGCCGTGACCACGTGATATACCACGTGACATGACACGTCCTGCTCGACCACGCCCACGACCGCGATGACTTGCGTCCAGTAAACCCAGTGACTGAGCCTGAAAAATTTCGAAACGTCAATACTGGATGAATTGAAAAATATTGATATGTACTGGATGAATTGAATGATATTGTCAAAAAAGGTGACGAACGTTCTCTCTTTTTTTAAATTACTTTTCATTTGCCAATTTTAAATTACTTTTTAATTGTACTATACATACCGCAATTCTCATTGATATGTTATTACATAGAATAATTAAAAGTGTAAATTACGTAATTCAGGCATGTGTTATGGCTGCGATGTAATTTTTAATAAATCTATCTACCTCTCTTATTATTATCTCCCTCTTGTGATCAGCCACGGCATGTGGATGGTTGACAAAATCGAGATTTCTGGGTATCTCGTTCGATAGAACTAACGATATTATTTTTGTATAATTTGTCATATATTACTTTCATCAGTTACGTTTGTCCGCCTAAAAGTACCCTGGATTCCAGAGCCTTCGACAGTAAATAATAAATTGAAACGTCGCGAAGGCTCTGGTTCAACGGGAAGATTCTTTGATTAAACCGCGCCAATCACAAACACTAATTCTGTTTTGTGATTGGCGCGGTTTAATCAAAGAATCTTCCCGTTGAACCAGAGCCTTCGCGACGTTTCAATTTATTATTTACTGTCGAAGGCTCTGGAATCCAGGGTAGCCTAAAAGAGGTTATTCGGCTAATTGGGACCACAAGTTAAATGGCCGTTTCCGCTTAATAGAGGTGTCCGCTGAATAGGGGTACAGATAATAGCATTTTATTAAAGAGGCCATTGGGACCGAAGATATGTGTCCGCTTAAGAAGGGTGTCCGTTTAAGAAGGGTGTCCGCTTAAGAAGGGTGTCCGCTTAAGAAGGGTGTCCGCTTAAGAGAGGTGTCCGCTGAATAGGGGTACTGACAATAGTATTTTATTAAAGAGGTCATTGGGACCGAAGGTGCACGTGTGTCCGCTTAGGAGGGGTGTCAGCTTAAGAGAGATGTCCATTAATACAAGACAAGATTTACGATACGACAAGACAAGATTTATTTGCTCCTTTCAAATTACAATTATAATAACCACAGGGCTATATAAGTATCAGGGAACCGAATAAAGGACGAAAAAATTATGAAAATTGACAATATAGTTCTATATTAAATAAATTTTAAACGATCGAGAAAGGAGTCCTGACTCCCGATAACGTATAGAAAAAGTTGGAAACTGAATCAATACTCTTCAAGAGAATCGATTCTAAGTTTATATTTAATTTGAGAAATCGGCAAGTCCATATTCTAGCGCCTTGAAAGCTGATATTGAAAATTCCGAAATTTGTTCTTGCTTTTGGTAGTATATATGTAAATTTAGAAGCAAGCCTAGTATTTTGAGAGTGTACATTGCACACAGGAGTAAAGAAATTGTGAGACGGTTTGCTTAAAATCAATACTCAATTTGCATGAATAAAATATGCCGTGCAAGTGCATGCTATCTTATTTACTCGTAAGTCGATTTGTTATATAGGTTACATTACAGCCTAGTAGATGCTCCAAATACAGTAAAATTAAAAAAAATATTGCGTAGCGAAATAGTGAAATAATTCGCTACATTTTTCAAGCAGTAGCTGTAGTCAGTAGCGAACTACTATTGTTCAAAAGTAGCAGTAGTTGTAGCTGACTACATATTTTTGAAGTAGCTGTAGTTATAGCGAACTACAAAACGTTTGTAGTCAACCCACCGTTGGTGGCAACAAGTTGTTATGATATTTGTACATGAAAAGAACCACGTGTAGATTTACAAGATCAGTCAACTTAATGATATTGTTCGACTGTACATCAAGCTCGCAAAGTGTATTCTTCGCTGCCCACGTACTGGCACCCAACACGAGTTCAACTTACCTCTTTCTTTAACTCCTCCACTCTGTACTTTAATTCCGTAGTATCTTCTCCAGTTTGTTCATGAGTGATAAGATCTAACTCACGATCTAACAATTCTTTCTGAGCCTGAAAAAACCCCAAGGTAAACATATTAAACAATGAAAGATGGTTGCAGTAGAATTTATAAAATATTCCAACACTTTTTAGAACCACTGAATATTTTAACAAAATACAAAACAAGTGTAACTCCAAAGATCGATAACATTTTTATATTTATCAAAATAAAAAAATGTTGTCGATCTATAAAAATAAATATAAAAAGGTTAAATATAAAAATCTGATATGCGGTGAAGAAATCGAAGGGAAACAACTACAGTAGCTTATGAAATACACACGTAAATATGTCACATTTTGTCAAGAAGATGAATTCGCAACAGGCTTGTAGCAAACTTGTCAACACGAATGCTGTTATTTTATCAAGTTGGTACAAGGTTGTCACTCACAACTTATATAACAAGTCTGTCGAGCTCCTTGTAGCAAGTTGTCAACAAGCCGTTGACAAGTTGACAACTTGACAACAAGCTGGGAACAAGCAGTGCGAACACATCCTGTTGACAAGTTGTTGGAACAGCTTTGCTACAAGTCTGCTACAGTTTGCTGCAAATTGTGCGTTTTTACGTGTGTATCTGACCAGGGCATTATCTGACCAGGGCATTATCTGACTAGGGCAGTATATGACCAGGGCAGTATATGACAAGGGCAGTATATGACCAGGGCAGTATATGACCAGGGCAGTATATGACTAGGGCAGTATATGACCAGGGCAGTATATGACCAGGGCATGCAGTATATGACCAGGGCAGTATATGACCAGGGCAGTATATGACCAGGGCAGTATATGACCAGGGCAGGGTATATGACCAGGGCAGGGTATATGACCAGGGCAGGGTATATGACCAGGGCAGTATATGACCAGGGCAGTATATGACCAGGGCAGTATATGACCAGGGCAGTATATGACCACGGCAGGGTATATGACCACGGCAGGGTATATGACCAGGGCATTTTTACGTGTGTATATGATCCTGGCAGCACAACCTGGAGACAACAATTTCCTGCAGACCAACGGAGTATTTTTGTGCTAAATCTGCATGTGCATAAACATATAGTGTTTTCAAGGAATAATGTCTGTCAACCATATGTTGTTGCGCCCATAGTCGGGCATGGCTGTTAAGGTTTCCTTCAAATTTTCAATAGTAAATCCTCATTCAAGCGAATTTCCTGCAGCTGTTTAACATTTCCTGCGAGCAATGCTCGCGTGCTCGCCAATTTTTTCCACCCCTGTATATGACTAGAAATCTGAAATAGTCAGTTACATTTATCAGATTTATGTGCTTTTATAATGATAGTTTCTAGTAGGAATGTTCGGTATGAGAATTTCCCGGTATCGGTATACCGGAAAATTATACCTATATTATCGGTATACCGGTCTTTCGTCTTATAAATTAGATAGGAAAATTCCTTAGTGGAAATTTGAAGGAAATTTTGATTTTGAATAATTTCAAAAGTAGAAACCCCGTTTATGATAATTTCGAAGCTGTTGACATTGTTTTTAACACGAAATGTCTACTACTTTTACTTTGCATGTGAGTAAAACAAAAATTGATGATTTTGATTGATGATTCCGATTTTTCGGAAATTTCGGTATATCGGTATGACTGAAAAACTCATACCGATAAACCAATATTGGTTTCAATACCGATATTTTCGGTATATCGGTATACCGAACATTCCTAGTTTCTAGCCACCTTCTCGCTAGCAAGACTCTCCCATCACCTACATTAAATATTTCCTTGTGAACATTTTAAACACTTATAGTCTACAGAGAATGTTCACAGTAAATAGACCTTTCCCCTTTTAAGTGAAATTCTGATCTCGACAAGTCTGGACAAAAATTTCATCACAGCTTGAAAGAGCATCACAAAATTAGTAATATTCCGAAGTTTCGTTGCGAAATGTTGTAAAATGCGGATAATATGGCCTTCCGAAGATTGCCGTTTTTCAGTCATTTTGTATTACAAACGGGAAATTGATAATCAGATAATCAAACTGATTATCAATTTCCCATTTGTAATGCAAAATGACTGAAAAACGGCAAACTTCGCAAGGCTAGATTATCCACATTTTACAACATTTCGCAAACGAAAGTTCGGAATATTACTAATTTTGTGATGCTCTTTCAAGCTGTGATAAAATTTTTGTCCAAGCTAGTCTAGATCAAAATTTCACTTAAAAGGGGAAAGGTCTATTGTTCTCCTCAGAGGTGCAGTAACGATTAGACGCACGGGTCAGAAAGTGCGGCCAAAAATTGATAGCTACGATGAACCAGCTTAACAGAGCATGCGTAGATTGTGTACTCAATATTAATGAGGCGAACTACTTAGGAGGAGAATGTTTTGTATGTTACGTACGTATAACACGCGCTCAAAACTAATGAATATTTCCACTTGGTTATGACTAAATTCAAATTTTGTAATTAACGTTTCTCAGGCGGCGAACAAAGTATTTTTAGTGCTTTATCTGTAAAATTATGCTAAAATAAAGGGATTTTAGACGGTACGCCAAAGAGAAAATGATGTCTGAAGTTCAGTAAGTTTTGCTTATACAGTATTGCTGTATAAATATGGCGTCGATTTTATAGCATCAATGATAATTGTATTTAGTTGACATATTTCATTATTATTTTGTGTTTCTCAACCGCGTAATACGTAGCTTGTATACATACCACTTGTCGTGCTCGGGCTGGACTTTCTTTTGATCTGACAAGCGCGGCGCTTACTTTCACTTCACTTTGGAGTTTTGATATGCTTTCTGAAACACTCTTCAGCGTCTACAATAACGAACAAATAGTTACATCCACTGTTTGGCTCATTCAATAAGTCTTACTGGGGAAAAAATCGAATTCTTATTCGATTTTTCTTCCAGTAAGACTTATTGAATAAGCCAAACAGTGGGAATGTAAGACTTATTGAATAAGTAAGACTTATTTACTTATTGAACAAGTATAAGACAGACAGTGGGAATAGAGAATTGCCTCCCCCCCCTTATGATATAATTAAGATATCCAACTTATTATTTATATACAAATAGACTCCCTACTGTTTTAAACGATTTCTTCTTTTTTGGTGGTGATAGACACAAGTACAGTACTAGACTAGCAACAACAATTGGTTATTGTATGCCAATTGCAAGAACATATTATGGTAAATTTTCTATCCGATCACAGGGACCTTATATTTGGATTTTGGAATGAAGTAGATGATAGCTTACATGAAAATACTAACTAAATCAGTTTTCAAGAAAAAAATTAAAATCAAATTTATTAATGAATACCAGCATTATGTTCATTTCTGTTTTTGTTTGGTCCCAAATTAACCAAAATCAAATTTATAATTAATGATCACTGGCTTTATGCTTGTTTTTGTTCTTGTATAGTCTACACATTTTAATTTGTATCTGAATAATCGTTGTGCATCATGACCTTAAACCCAATGATGACCCACATGCAGTGGCTCGAATACTTTAATAAGGTTATCTGACTTCGATTAGTGTTAAAACTACTTCAGATACCTTGTGCTAACTTTGTCTTAATGTGTGGAAAAACTTGTAATCATGTATTTTTGACATGTGCGAATAAATTCTTCTTCTTCTTTTGTACCACAAATGTGGTTCAATATTCATCTTGGTATCGGATTTTTGCCTTATCGGTAGACAATCGGAAACGGTAGAATTGTCTGTATTTTCAATTGTGTAAAACAGATTGTTGAGAAAACACGTTGCATGCCAAACGCGCAACCTGAATCCGCTTTTTTACGGAAAAACCCAAATGTTTAATCTCTCGCGAACGGTATCGTGTTGCATGCTGGGTGTAGAGCAGACAGTTGCTGCGAGGAAATAATACGTGAAACGTGCCGTTTACGAACGGTTTTAGTAGTACTGGTTGCAATAACATGTTACGCTGGAAATTATCATTAAAAGATCGAAATGAATGACGTCACCTTTACTCGATCGACTGACATTATGACGTCTTTATAAAATCGGTATCGGGTGATTGTCGCAAGAATAATCGGTAATTTCTGACAGTGGCACAATTAGCCTTTCTCACGCCGCCATTTTTGGGTGGCTTTTCAGCCGAAGTCTGCGAGATAAGTCCACATAACAGCGACTTTTTATAATTTTTTTGGACGAATGATGGTAAATTTGCTTTGTAAATGCTAGTTTATTTTGAAAAATTGCTTTTCGCATTGTTTTAATTGTCTGCATTGGTTAACGAGAATTAGATGGCACCCAAAAATGGCGGATATTCGTCATCGTGAGAAAGGCTAATTCGTCAATCACTACAGATATCCAATGTTTGGATACTTTCAAAAACATCGTACCTGCATTATTTTGTCCTTATCTCTCTGCTGAAGATGTTTGCTCTGTTCCAATTTCTTTATTAAAAGCTGCAATGTAACATAAACCAGGCATAAGCTCTAAATTTATGACATGACCAGGCCTCGAATTTCCCTGAAATCAATCGACGGCAATGGCGTTAAAAATTGCCGTAGAACGTAACAGCTGTCTACGGCAATTTAGACAGTTTCCACGGCATTTTCCAAATTACTGTAATAAAACTTTAATTTTATTGTTACTTTGGATCTTTGACAAGCTAGAGACATGTCTACATATTTCTTTAGTGTTTTCTTTTTCGAAGAAAACTGAGACTAAAATAGTGATTTACGCATGATTTGATCAACATCTGAATTCAAGTACCAAAATAGTAATGCACAGTGAATAGTATAAAAATTGCACTGTACGGCAAAAAAATTGTTCTCCCTCTACAGCAATTGCCGCGATAAAATTCGAGCCCTGGACATGACGTCTAAATACTTCAGCGTTTCTCTTTCTCAGTACTTTTGTAATGATGTTCGTGTCATGCAGTTATCTGTCTTGACATTCTAAATCCCAAAGTCAACGAAAACGTCTATCCCAGTCTCTGAACATGATCACACCCACTCAAAACTCACGACAGTATTTCAGCGGCCTATATCCCATAAACCGTCTCATATAGAGAGCTTCATAGCAATTACAGTAGGTCTATTTAACAAATAGATGAGATTTTGCCGTTGTGTGTCAGGAGCGTAACTAGACCATAGATATCTTATATAGACTAGATAGCGCATCTCTTTTAGTAAAATTGAAGCCAAGAATATTCCAGCGGTTACCCCCATTTGAATAGATGGCGGTCATGTTGGTGTTTCCCACTCGCTAATAAACGCTTAAAAAACAACAATAACTTTCATCATTTGAATAGTTTAAAAACGTATTTGGAATAGGTTTACCTTAATATTTAAGTTCCGTGTTTAAGAAATAGAAAATATACGAATCTTCTCATTTCATGGGAATATCCTGAGTCTGCAATCACGGCTTCAATTTTTTAATTGTAGAATAATTAGATGCACTATCTAGTGTATACAATATATCTATGAACTAGACGCGATAATTGGTATATTCATATATTCGTGTTAAGCGATTGTTTTTACGGTATGTGAACATGAATACATGAGTATGCGCCCTCCCCCCCAAAAAAATCGCGTCTAATTGCGGCCCTGTTGTATGTTCAGTTATACAGGGTGTATCAAAAAACCAGCAAACTCTCTGAAGTACAATGTTTTTAGAATTTGCATGATTCAGAACTACTTGATCCCAAGCGTGCGTAAACACAATAGTTGACCCATTCGCAGTCGAACTAATAATTACTTTTCTGCATTACAAATAACTCTGTGTTATTCTAATTTCTATCAACGCAGTTAATTAGAATGTATTTTCAAATCCCAGGAGCAACATAAGTAGCACAGACATTGAAATGCTGGTAAGCAGCAGAATTATGCAAATTATGGTGTTTGCAGGTTTTTTCATACATCCTGTAGATACACAGTATGACGTCATAACGTGGGAAGAACAAAGAAAGTGGCTCAATAACCGCTGTCTATCTTTGCGTCAAAGATACTTCAAGGACTCACCTTTTGGTTTTCAATTTGCTTACAAAGCAAATGTTGTTTCTGTTTTTGTAGCAATATTTTCTTCTTTACCACTTCCTAAATATTAAAATTATAAACAATTTTTTCTCGTATAATTATAAAGAAATGTGACGTTCATGCCAGCCAAAAGGACCTAAAACTATATCATGCGTGTTCAGAATATGTACAGTGACTGTACAACACAAATTTATTAAGTACTATACTAACGCCAAATGCAAATTTTTGTCCACCGACGTTGAGACGTATACATCATCGTTGCTAACTTCGGTTTCATTCTTTGCTTCTCTGCGTTGTACTGTTCGACTTCCGGCTTCATTTCGCTCGCTCGCCTTCGATAACTCCTTAAATTCTTGCTCAAGCAGGAATTTAATGAAATTGTCGAAGGTCAGCGAGCAAATCCGCGCTGTTCATTTTGTGACTTTGTAAATGCACTTACAGGAATGATATTCAGTTTGGTAGCACAGCTTTAAATGTATGTACTAAGTCCCAAGAGGACTATCGATGCTCGTCTTCGTGGTAAAAGTACTCTATTCCGGTAACTATTGCGAAATTTACTTACAAAATACAATACAAAATACAATACAAAATACAATACAAAATACAATACAAAATACAATACAAAATACAATACAAAATACAATACAAAATATACAATACAAAATACAATACAAAATACAATACAATACAATACAAAATACAATACAAAATACAATACAAAATACAATACAAAATACAATACAATAGGATAGGAGAAAACTTTATTTGACTACGCTGGCCACTTCAACCGAAGCTGCTTTCCAAGAAGGGTGTAGATAATTTATGTTACAAAAATATATAAAATACAAAATCGCTAATAATATTAAAAACTACGAATACAAAATACATATTACAAAACAAATGGTACAATAGTCAAATAGCTAATTCGTCAATACAATATTATCAACTACTGCCACCCAAACACAATCCGACTTACAACCTGAGGAGAGAACGTGCACTTGATTGGCCTACTATTTTATGAATGTCAAATAATTTAAAGAAATAGGTTTGCTATGAATTGTTTTCATAATTAGGACAAATTTTAACCTTAAAGATCGTGATGTATATATGTTAGTATTTGTATGTTTGTATATATGTATGTGTTTATAACCCACAGTTAATTTATATGATAATTTCGAAGCTATGTTTGAAAGTAAGCTGATTGGTTGATTTTAGATCCCATTGTTTTTTCCACGAATCAGATCGGTTTCTTATACATATTTTTGCACTGTTGTTACAGAATTTTGCACTGCTGTTTGAATTACACTGAAATCAACCGATCACAGTCGAGTAATATTTTTATGTATATTATTATAACAGTATATAATTTATTGGAATAAGCAATTTATTATACCTCTACCAATCTAGTATTTGCACCTTTCTTTGGTACTACAGCAGCAGGAGCTGAAGCCTTGAAACTAGTTTGTCCTGTATGGAACATGGTTGGCGCAGCAGGCTAAATATAATAATATCAACATGGAAAGTTAGAAATAAAAAGGATTGTTATATAGAGCTAGGGTGAACACCAAACGTGACTGGCTAATTTGTGGTCACGTGCATGGCTTTACGTATCCCGCCGAGCAACAAGTGAAAAAATTGTTGCCCGCCCTGAACGGCTACGTACATAAATAAACAAAATGGCAGCATGCACAATTCGCAAGTTTATAAACTACGATTTTCCAAGTTTGTGTTAAAATAAAGAACGTAAAAGAGAAGAAAAATACACAACAGGCAACAGGATATGTTGCTGAAACCATTTAAGTAGGTTCTTTTGATTTTAAATTCTAGTGTTTTGTCATGAAACACAATTGTTGTATGAATATGTTGTTGATTTTCCTTTCGCCGTTATACCGGGTGTCTCCAAAAAAAAAGGTGAACTTTTAGAAATCCACCTTGCTATACTGAACCTATGAGTGCGTAAAAACAATTTAATCGAATTTTATACATGGAAGTTATTTAAAAGTTTTTGGTTTCGAAGCAAGCGCGAGAAAAAACACGGATATAGTACGAGACTGGGACCTAGGTGTGACGTCACAGCTGAAGGTGCTTCACACCCAGGCATAAAAGTTATTTAATAAATGTATCAAAGCAGCGTACAGAGAGAGAGCCTGGGACTAGGCTGCAACATATGAATTATGTACCGATTAATTTAAAGCAGCGCGTAAAACAGTAAAAACTCTTTGCTCTGTGGTCAGTTGAACCATGTTTACTCGAACTGATAGTATGACTAATTTGTAATTTGACCATTTTTATGCAGTTATTCTCCTTTATGCTATTAGAAGCTAGTTTATGCAAAAATAACATCTCATCAACCATCACAGACAGTTTATCAGTCGTATTAAAACAATTCATTTTGCACTGTAAAGCGAAGTTTGTGAAAAGAAGCGAGCAGCGATGGCACAGAAGCATATTTAATATTAAAGTATATCTTCAATGAAAATTGTTATCTTACCTTTTCAATTACCGTCGGCTTTATAGTGGCAGCTATGGTAACAGGTTGGCTGCTTTCGGAAGGAGTGGTTTGGTTCTAAAATCATAGAAAATATATATGTGCATCATTCGTAAATAGTGTGCTGACCGAGGCCGACCCCTACACTTCCGCGAAAACTTTACATGTATAAATTATGCTTCGAACCCAGTTCTCCTGAACTAATTAGCCATGGTTAATTAAACAGAGTTTTACAGATTTCAAAATCTCTTTCAAAATTTCAATTATATAGACCTTATTCATAAATCGTGACGAGGCCTCGTATCCTAGGATACGGGGAAAAAACGCGGGAAAACAAGCGAAAACTGCTTGACAAGCCAAATTCAGATGCTATATATCGACTTCAACGGCTTGTTTCTTGTTGCTTTTTGCGATTTATAACGATTTTTGTGTGTATTTTTAAGACTTTGTGCCCACAACGAAAGCGGGAAACAAGTATATTATAAAAGCGACCGGTTTTTCTCCCGTTTTTGTGTGGAAAAAATGACAACGTAGCGACAGTGTTTATCCAGAAGCGAAAAACAGCATTCTACTGAGATTTTAACGTCAATATAAAGGTTATTCCGTGAAAAATCAAGACAACTATGGAATGAAAGTATAATTTTTCGAATTTGAAATTAATATGAAAGAAAACAACAGGTCAAAAATCACAAGAGAACGTCAAATGTCATTGATTTGTACGGGAAAATATGAACTATGGCTGTGGCTCGATAACATTCTGCAAGCAGCTTACAAGTTTAAAAAATGAAGGCTACATTACCTGAGTGAGTTGTAATCTTTTTTCTTCAACAATAGTTTCATATTTCTTACGATTTTGGTATTGCATAGACGTTTTGTAGCCTTGTTGGTTGTTTGTTTTGGCCATACAAACTACGACAATGATACAAAGTCAAAGGTTTCCTTTTTCGATTGACTCCAGCATCTTTTGCTTTAAATATCATGTTATATTTTCTCAGAAGTATTTTTTTCAACTTTCAAACTCAGTTTTATAGATATTATTTTCGAAAAAAGCCGTAATATTGACGATAAAAAGCTGCCATAGCCGACAGCAAAAGAAACATTTTGTCAATTTTCCCGCGTTTTTCCCCGTTTCCTAGGATACGAGGCCTCGATCACGATTTATGAATAAGGTCTATTCTGTCAATCAAATTCAGTAAACATTTTTGGCTGAATATGATACCAAACTGATATAAAAAATAGCCTATTCGATAGATTACAATCTTGTGATTTCAAATGGCTTCATCGTCAAAGACAAAACAGGTTAAGTTTGTAGTTACAGGGTTAGTTTTGGCAGTATTTTCTGGAAATAATTGCTGCGTGCGCGATTTGCCGATAGCATGATCCAAATTTTACATTTAGCATCACTATAAAATAGAAATAGATGAAAATTTGGACGTATCTACCTTTGTTAGTGTAGCCGCTCCACGACTACGATCCCAAAATTCAGATAATACGCTTTTTTTACGATATATTTTGCATAAACTACACGCATTTGCCTTTGTTTTTATGTAATTTTAAAGACTTGTTACCGTGGTAACCAAGTAATTGCTACGTGACAGGCACATCACAGATGTCACGATTTGTCATCATATTTCTAGCTTACGTTTCCAGTCCCTGTCTTCTGAATTGTCTATGATTGGATCAATGTTAGCTTGCAACTCCCTATATAATCTTCATCTGTAATTGGGCATGTCGTTGCTGAAACAGTAACCACAGATAAATCTGGAGATTGAACAGGAGATGTTTGGACATTGGTATGAGTATTGACAAAAAGTTCTCTCAAATGATTTTTCACATAAAAGAACTGTGATGGAGTTGCAGATGCCTCGGTAGAAATCTTATGATTATTGTGTGCATTGAAATGGGCAATAAGTGCATTGTTTATTCTAGGGCATCATCTTCAAGTTGCTTGAAAATATCCTTGAATGGTGTTGTGATGCAAATGTTAAGGTCTCTGTTGTTTCTTTCTGCTCTTTGGTTGTGATCTTCCAGCAAGAACTGGGTGAACATCACTGCCATAATGGGGCATACATTGCATCCCACACTTTGACATTTTCTCCCCCGTGGTCAGTTCTGACATGTAAAGGAACCCTAGATATGTGGTTGCAGCACGAAATAGTTCCAAAACAACATCACCCCAGTTATCTGAGCATCTCAAAAATGTTATTAGTCTGTAAAACCCATCAATCCCACAATGAATAACCCATTCGATATCTGATGAGTTTGTGGTTTCCATCAATATGCCACATGTAATTTGGGCATGGTACTTCATATGACCTATGCTGCATTGATCTGCTTCTTCTTCGCCGTAATCCTGCTGGATCAATTTGTTCCTAAAAAATATGCCTTACATGGTGTTGTTGAACATTAATTTGCCTAGAACGAAGGTGACCCAAAATCATAATTTCACCCATGTTAGGATGGTCTTTTCGGACATATTCAATAACTTCCCTTAACCTATCATCGCTAATATGAGAGTAACAATCATTATATGCAATCCCATATTGTTGCATATTTTTATACAACGTTGTCCTGCTAACATTTAAAATCCTTGCAATTTGGCTTATGGTAAAGTTAAGCGAGAGCAACTCTTCTACCCTTCCACGGTCTACTTGAACTGATGATGGTCTTCCAGCTCGTCGGTGATTCTAGAGTATTGTTCAATAAATTGTGTGACAATTAAATCTACCCACACTGGTCAAGTATAAAGTTAAGCTTCCAAACAGGCTTTTAGCCAGAAGGGCATCCTGGGACGCCCCTAGAACGAAAAGTGGATGCCTTTGGACGCCCAAATTGGCAAATTCTGGAGGAAAAGGGAAATTATTTTTTCAATGATTTCCTTAAGTATATTAATATGTCTGAAACGAAAAAGCTTCAATTCTCATTATTATTATACATTTGACATTTTGACAAAAAGTTTGCGAACAGTGAAAATCAGAGCATTCAACTGGATCAATGGTTAAACAGAAGGGCAGCAGAGTGAAGAAAGCAAGAGGACAGGACAAGAGGACTTTTGACGAAGACAAAGAGCAAGATTCTGATTTAACTTCCGGTTCTGAAACCGAACACCACAAAGGAGAAGCCGATAGCAAGTCAAGCGATGATGAAAATGCTAACAAACCAAAGGACAAGGATAAACCATTTTTGTTGAGTCCTATCAGCTCTGCAACTGCTGAAGCCTAGTTCTCATTCATCGCAAACTGTCACTGATAGTGAATCGCCGATCCCGAATGCACGAAAGTTTTCATACATCGGTGATCATTGCAGATGACAGCTGAGGTATCTCGAAATTTCCCACCAAGGCACAAAATGGCCCCGTTCAATGTAAAGTTCATGATTTCTGTCAAACTTCAGTTGATTATTTCCTTGCTTGTTGAGGAAAAAACAACTTTTACTCATTTCTCGTAGATTTTTCAAGCAGGTGGCAGTTGGCAATGGTTGCAAGAAACAAATCTTTTTGTTTCCTGCGATGTCATTGCCGATGGTCAGCGACGATCACAGACAATTGGCTATATAATTTTTTATGTGTTCTCATAAACTGCAAGTGGTCACCGATGTCACAAAGCTTCCATCGCTGACAGTTTGTGATGAATGAGAACTAGGCCTGAGCATTCACTCTTTCGTTGTTGAGATCACATGAACAATGTGTAAATATGAAATGAACACTGAATTGTAGACATGGTAAAAGCAAACACCACCAGTCAATTTGTGAAAGCATGGTACAAAGGGCAGCCTCGTCCCCGGCGCTTTGATGTTGCGTGACGCGCGCGCGGGAGGACACGCGTGGGGGGAAAGGAAAAATTCGGAGCGAAGCGCCTGGGAGAAAATGCTTTCAAGATGGCGGACAAAACAAGTGATTTGCATTTTTGTCTTGACAACGATAGTGAAGATGGTCAGTATAAACAGGTAAACATTTTAAAATTCAAATTACTATTTTAGTATTTCATGGAATTCATGAAAAAATGTTGGGAATAAGTGGTAGACTTTATTTTTTTAGAAAATAAGCCACAAATATTTGTGGTTGTAGATATAAAACCTTTTTGTATTTACTGTAACTTTATGCGATAATTTCATCCCTCAATCCCGAAATTAAATGGTTGCACAGTACAGGTATATCAAGAGATGAAACTATGATGTGCTAGTATATTAAATTGGGAATTAAGGTTTTACATATTTAGTCAAGGGTTTTGTTATGGATGAGCTTGTGGTGGACTGGTGCAGGACAGAGCTCAGCTGCTAGGGGCAGCTGATCTGAGAAGTGAGAAGGCATGTTTTATATCTAGGATTGTAGTTTATGTCCTCTCTGATAGTTTGTTGCATGTGTATATTAAGTTATCAAAGGGGCAGTGTCACGGTTCTACTGCGCATCCAAAATATGCGCGAACTTGAAAAACTGTCTGCCAACAATTAATCAAGTTAGGAGTGAAATACGATATACTATTTATAATCCCTTCGTTATGCAGGACATCCTTGCTTTGTTTTAAAAATTGAAGGCTGCTGCATCTTCCAATCATGTAGCATTAATTTTAAACATGTCTTTGTGTCGTTTATTTTAGCCAATCAGCGCTGTGACACTGCCCCTTTAAATTGTTTCTAGTTCTGCCATGTTTCTGTCCCTGAGGTTATTAAGGGCTGTTAATGCAGACAGCTAGCCCAGTAAGCGAGACCTCACTGTGTGGTTATTTTAATATTTTTATAGTGGAAATTCCTTTCAATTTGTATGGACAACCTGACTGGCTCAGAGAGATCTCACTTGAAGAAGGCAACATCTCACTTGAACAAGCAACATCTCAATTATACCGGGAGGATATTTTGTGGCTATATAAAACACTAACCAGACTGACTTGATCAAAATAAAGTCAAAACAACAAAATTGGTCATGACAATATTGTCAAAACAATAGAGACGCAGAAATTTCCAACAATGAGTGCATGCTACTGACATTGTTATTGAAACTGAGTACCAAGCAACATGTTTGAAAATTAAAGATGCAAAATCTTGATTAATTTTGTATTATTTTAAATTAATATTTATTAAACCTAACTGTACAATCAAGTTACATGTAATAGAGTATTATTATAACTTTGTAGCTCCATAGGCTATTCTTTCACTGTTCCAGGTTTTGATCCACAAAGTTATAGAGAAAAGTCATTGTTAGTTCTGCCAATTAGGTCTGGCAAGTGCTAGTGTACCACTACACCACTACTCTTGCGATTTGAACATTCAAAAGAACTTGTATTAATCTCTTGTCCACATGACTTACATCACCCTGAATGAGAAATGTCCATTATGCTTATAAAATAGTGACATTACGTATCATTAGAACACACTTTGAAGAAATATTGAGTCACATATCCCACAATCTGATTACAAGGAAATTTACTTTAGAGGAGAACCCAAACCCAACTGTTCAGGTAGACATTTATATGTTAACCCATTGAGTGCCAGCACTCTCCTGTTGACAAGTAAAATTGTCAGTGTTAGACACTTAGACAAAGTAACATAATAAAGTAGGATGCAATGCAACCTAATGGTTCATTATGGTATGTCAGATAAATTGACTTGTGCAATTTTTCACATATGAGTTCTGGCATTTACAAGCCCTAGTTTGAAACCAACTTTAAAGCCCACAACAGGTAATTGCAGCCAACTATTAAGTTAACCCATTAGGCTGCCATGCACCCAAGCTTGTTATTTTACTTTCAGACCATCTAATGGCAGGCAATTTTACTTCTCAAGGGGACAGCCTTGTCCATTAATGCATTAATTGTGTTTCTTAACTCCCAAAGTTTCATTTTACATTACAATATATCACAACTGATCTAAGGTTCACAAATAATGTCTAACTGAAATGTTGGGCTCTACTCCAATACTGGGGACACCACCACTGAAGCTGCTTTCAAACATGTCATCAATCAATTTAAAATTGTTTAATTGTCAGGGCATAATTTTGGTCAATGCCAAGGTGGCTGATACATGTACTGTACACCTTTTATTCCTACAAATACTTTTAGAACTACAACTCTAATGACTGTGGGATTTATAGAACTATGTTTGGCCAGATGAATATTGTAAACCTCTGAATATAAGCCCTGGGCTTATATTTCTTTGTACTGTACTTTGTAAGCATTTTTGATGTACTGAGCTGTTGGATTCCTGGCCCTTGCTGCATTAATAAATACCTGTCAAGGGGCTTACATTAGAGGTGGCTTATATTCGGAATCGCCCAAGTAAATATGGATGGTGGGATTATATGTTTATGGTAATTGCTTGATTGCAATGGGTATTGAATGGTTTGAATCTGATATCTTTGGCATGGCAAAACCTTTTTTTCACTTGTCTGTCAGAGCTTGTCTGTCATGAATTGACAATTTAATAATACAACTACACAGTAATTATAAATAACTGCTACAAAGAACCTGGCAAAGATATCACTCAAAATTTGTCAGGGAAAATTTACTAATACTAAATAAATATAAGTGTACAGTATAAAGGACTCCGAAATCATACGCAGCCTTAAAACCCTACGAACACGTTGATCAGAATGATTTTCATATAAATATTTGGTTCACATAATATTAAAATTATAAAATTATAGCAGTCAACAAGACAATAAATCATATTAAAATATATAATGAGACAAATTCATACAAATTTACCTTCAAAGGAAATATTGTGAAGAGATTCACTGATCTCGTCCATGATTCCGTCGTGAATAAAGCAAAATAATCAAGAAAATCGAACAATGGCTTTGAAAATTCAGAAATCGACAGAAATTTCAGAAATCGACACGTTTTCTGCGAGGCGCTTCCGCGTCCCGTAGTGAGCAACGCACCTCGATTCCCGCGCGTGCGTCACGCAACCAGTAAGCACATCAAAGCGCCAGGGATGAGGCTGGTACAAAGGGCAAATCCCCTGAAGAGCAAGCCTGAGTGTTGAAAAGTGTTACAACAACAAGTGCAACCAAGGTAAGCAAAAATGTTATTTTCGCAAACAGCTTGAGTGATGGCCTTTAACAAGGACACTGAAACTGAACACATTCAAAGAGTCAAGATACAAGATGCAAAACTGTGACATTGTGAATTTACAACTGAAGAAACCACAATGCAATGATGTAATTGATATAACTGCCACAAGTTATCCTGTTATTTGTACACAGCTACTCCCTACGGTGAATGTCAAATGGCAACATTTAAAGGGATTAGATTTGGTTGATGATTGGGAATCTTCAGAATGTGCGATTGACATGTTGATAGGATCAAATATATTATTGGGATATTGTGATTGGCGAGACAAGGTGTGGAACAGACAGTTCTCAGCTTCTTGCAGTTAGCCATAAGTTGGGATAGCTATTATCTCCACCCTTGTAGGGTTCAGCAAGTCATGATTTAATAGGTGATGATGAAGGTCTAACAAAGATACGGAGGCAATTTTGGGAGACGGAGCCAATTGGGATAACCAACCTCCGGTGATACCGAGGCCACACCATACCTAACCAATGTGAATTGTGATGGAAATCGCTACAAAGTTGGCCTTCAGTGGAAGGACTATCATCCATGAACACACTATGAGCTGTGTTATAATAATTTGAAGCGATTACAGTGAAGATTGAAAGAACAACCAGATCTACTTAACGAATATAACAGTATCATTAAGGAAAACTATTACTTACTCTACCCAGTATCTGATTACTACACCTTACCACAAATAAACAAATTTATAGATATAAATAAACAAAATGACTTATTTCTTTATCACTGCAATATTAGGAGTCTTTCAAAGAACTTGTCACTCTTGAATAACGTATTATATTCTCTCAATAAAAAACCAGATATACTAGCTTAACTGAAACAAGATTAAATAATGAAACTGTATCTAATATTGATTTATGTAATTATAACTTCATTCATGATTCTGTAACATCAGCTGGTCGAGCTTGTATATACATATCTACTGACCTAAGTCCTTGGATGACTCACGGTATTTCAAAGTCCGTAACTGAAAAAAATAAACTTTATAGAAAATATTTGAAAACACCTAATCGGAAAAATGAAGAAACATACAAAAAGTATAAGAACAAACTAAATCACCTAGTCAAACTTGCCAAAAAAAATTATTATGAAAAACAATTTGTAAATTATAACAATAGTAGAATGACATGGAAAATGATTAACGAAATTTTAAATAGAAGGAACGAAAAATCCACACTACCAGATAAATTCATAGAAAAAGTTTCCAACAAAGCCTTGACAAATCCAACTGCTATCGCAAACAACTTTAATAAATATTTTATCAATGTTGGACCTGAGCTAGCTAGACAAATTCGCATTGAAAATAATGAAAAATCATTTGACAAGTATCTTTCCGGAAGTTATGTGAAAAGTATGTTTATTGATCTGGTTACTGAGATTGAAGTAAAAATTGAAATAGACAAATTAAGTCAAAATAAAAGTGCTGGTTATGATGAGCTAAGTGCCAATGTAATAAAGTTCATTGGAAATGAAATCTGTAGACCAAAAGCTCATATATTCAATTTGACATTTACCACTGGAATTATTCCAGACTCTTTAAAAATAGCATTAGTAACCCCTGTATACAAGGCAAGTAAATGAAGACTTTAGATTTCAAAACTACTGACTTATTTCGGTATTATCATGTTTTTCAAAATTATTGGAAAAAGTAATGTATCAAAGATCGATAAAATTTATTGACGCAAATGAAATCTTGTCAAAATACCAATACGGATTTAGGACAAATAGATCAACAGAACATGCAGTTATTGAAATTACTGACAAAATCTCCAAAGCAATAAATGAAGGCAAATACACAATTGGAATTTTTCTTGATCTCAAAAAGCATTTGACACAGTCAACCATGAAATTCTTATAAAAAAGTTAGAACATTATGGTATAAGAGGATTATGCATTGAGTGGTTTAAGGTTACATCATATGATAGATTCCTGTTTCAGAAAAATTGTCACTGCGTGCTCAATTTTTTAGTTACGTTCCTCGAATTTGGCACACACAATGATAACTAACTGTAGAAGCTACTGTTTTTCACACATCTTTTGAAAAATAGCACCTCTTGCGCCACAAGATTTAACGACAGACCATTTAACTCAGGAGCTCCCAAAATATCATATTTCTCATCTCAAATGTTCAAAGAAGAAAAATGTGTTCGCATTTTTTGACAGCTATTGTATTAGCTTTGATATAAAGCAGACAACTTGACTTATCTTGCACGGATATAAGCGGTTGAAGAGATGCTTCTAAATTGAAAAATAATGCACTAAATTGAAAACGCGAACACCTTTTCGTTCTTATATTATTGATTAACATTGTGGCAATGTTTGGGACGAATCGGATAAAACGCTCTGTCGTTAAACTCTTTTTTGTCAAGGAGATTGGGTAATTTTGCTTTCTCTTCAAACGACGATTTAAGATTTGGCGAGCTTTACACTCTTTCTGTCACTTTCTCCACCCCAATGTTAATCCGCTTGTCACCTGTTGGGATTAACCAATCGCAAACAACTAAACTTTAATATGTTTTGGCAAGGTGTTTATCACTCATTGAAACACAAGCACTCATTTATCTTTATAGAATTTAATATAGTCTATAGCTATATAGACTAGTTTAAGAATAACTATGCCAGCGAAGCGCAAAAATACAATTAGTAAGGAAACGTCTAAGCCAAAACGCAAGCGCAATAGAAACGTCATCGCCGAGGAGGGCGTGAAATCGATAAAAAACAGCTTCTTCTTGATGACATGAGAGCTCTAGGGTATGTATTAATGTATATAAGTATATGTTATTTGTTTATTAACGGCTAATGAAACATGTAACTTTTCACAACAGAAAGTTTCGATTTTCATTCTGCAGATTTGATGGCTCAACATTCATATCAAATCTCGAAGCTAGTGTTGCTGACTGGCAGAAAAGGGGCAAGCCGCCCAGGAAAATTAGATATATCCATTATTGCCAATGGGCGCATGCTTTGCTGGTGAGTTTTAGGAATGCGATTTCAGCTATGCATGACAAGACTTATATATGCAAGATAGTTTTCACACGTCTCCGGTAAAGTATCACAAAGACCGCGTGGACGAGAAATTCTAAACGCTAAACCATAGTAAAACGGCACCCGAAAAAAAACTTTTTCTGTTTCGAGAGTTTGTGTAAATAACATTTCAATGACATGCCCACTCGCTTCGCTGCTACGCTTCTGGTATCCCAGGCTGAAAAAACCCCACAAAAGTTTACATTTATGGCGCTACTCACAAGCTACAATATGACATTAATAGGTTTAGCCTGCTACAAATAGAGCGAGTACTTTGATATATAACAGTATAACAAAGCAGTTGTATCTTTATGAAACTAGTCAGTAGACCGTAGACGGATATTTTAAAATCAAGCCCACTCGCGCGCGATCGAGCGCAATATTTATACCATATAAATTCGATGGTTTATAATAAATTAAATTTATAGCTTATGTTATATGTCCCTTCTGCAGAAAAAGGACATTGGACCAGAGGAAGATGATGCGCAATTTGGTTTCCCTGCTCAATTGTTGACTTTTTTGAGATATATCACACTGGGAGACGTGAAAGGTGAAATTCGGGAGGTAAAAATTCTAACAACACGCTATGGATGATAACATAAATTGAATATAAATTACTCCAAATCTGATTCTATAAATGTTTGACAACCAGTTTTTGTCCTTGATATATTATTTATAATTAAAACATTAAGAATCAGTTTTCAATATCTCATTGATAACTTATCAACAATTCAATAAAGCCAAAGGCCGAACTGAATGATTTCTAATTTCTTTTACTTTTAGGATGCATTTCCTGTTACAATGGGTTGTTCTTGAAGACTCAATGATAAAAGTAAATATATATACTAGAATGTCCGAAGTGGCGTGATGACTTGATTTCAAATTCCTCGGTCATATAATTTATTAATTGAAATTTCATTAACCTTTGTAATACTGTACATTTATACATTTCTCTATTTTCTTAACGTAGAAAATTGAAATATATCTTATTATTTGACACAATACTACAGTTTCAAGTTTGGAAATTAGACTGACGTGCATGTTCATGTTGTCAGTGAGCTTCAGCGTATATTTCTCTGTCTCTCCCTCTGTCCTCTACTAACTCTTATCTTTCTGTTTCTTTCTTCTTCTTCCTTTTTGTGCTGCTGGCTGTACTTCTTTTCCCTTCTCACCTTAGAATGCCTGTGACTTATATTGCACCCCTTCCTTGTGCACAAATGCATCAGCTTTGTTTGCCCTTTGCCTTTTATATTTTTTCCTGCGTTCTTTAACGACTTGTCTCTCTTTGTACTCCGCACCATAAATTCGCTTTTTGTCCATTTTTCCCCAAGCATTCATTCCCCCCTATTCTTGGCAGTAACTGTGAGTAAGTAATTTCAATCCCACTATTGGAAAGCAGGCAGCCAAGACCAACTGCCAAGCTGGTCTCACAAGGGGAAGTATACTGCTCTTTGAGCGCAAGCCCCCAAATAACATGATGTAGTGATTCGTTAGCATTTTGGGTAGCGCACTTTTCGCAGCCAGCAAGAAAGTTTGCATCACCCAAGCGATCAAAAACTGGTTTGATAACATCCACAACAGCAGGTGTGAATGGATTCTTTATAGGTACATGCAGTTTGGTATTGTTGGCAATATCCCTTTGATATGTGCACCAAGAATCCTTTCCAATAGGGCAGTAATCATGTTGGGGTTTCTCCTCGGAGCTGGCATAATGATACATGATAGCTTTGGTAGCTTTAGCCATTGCCTTGGAGTCACCTTTATTTTGGCGAATAGAAAGACCATAGAAACTTTGAATTGAATCAATTCTGGCAATGGTTAATCTACCAGCTCCACTCAGACCTTTACCGTCTGCCAACTTTTTCCCTTTTGAAAGAAAAAGTAAATATGCAATTGAAATGTACTTTTTTCTGCATGACAGATATCTCTCGAGTCTCTATGTCTTACTAGGCCGCATCATCTTAGATCAACTTTGAACCACCAGGATGGGGAAAATGTGTTGTAAATTTTGGGTGCTACACCCTCCACACACCGTGCAGGGAGGGGGTGTGGATGGTGTAACACCTCTATTTTACTTGTACATTGTAAGTTATGAGGAATAAATTACCTTTGTAGTCATGCACAAGTGATCTCAGATTTGAACCCATTCGTTTGGTTACATGGGAAATACAATCCACTTTTGGAATGAAAACAGATGGTCCATACGGCTTCTTTATGCAAACCTGACTGTACGAAGAACAATCACCATCGCCAATAAAGGGAATATAACAAACGGTGCGCTTATCAATTGAGCAATGACATAATGGCATTACTCCAGATGATTCCATTGCCTAAAATAAATAGTTTTAAGATACATTAACAATTAGGTACTACAGAGTACAAAATCAAATAGGATTACCAGCAATGTGAAAACAAGGGCATAATTTACTAGTCATCAGTAACCTCCAGTGAAATTTAAAAATGTAACATTTTGGTAATATCTTGTACTGCATCTGATAAGAAAATTATCAGATGTTTTAATCTGAGTGTGGTATAAAACAATTGGGAGGGAACATGTTCACCACAATCTGTCGATTGTCGGTCTGAGACTCAGACCCCCCCCCCCTAGCACCCCACCCCACACACACACATTACAAACATGCATCTTGTTTATGATAAGTTACCTGAGGACTTCCTTCGTGATTGAGTAGACAATCTGGTTCGTGAGAGATGTACCATGACAGAAAATCTATCCTACTTAATTCTCCTGTAGCTCGTTTCTCCTCCATTTCTTTGCATTTTTGGCACTCCCTCGTAAGGTACACCACGTCCAATATTTTTCCTGTATCCTCTGAAACAGCGGCGACAAGACCATCTCGCGCAGACCAACCTCTTGAGCTGCATGAGCAATCGAAACTAGCACCAATATCAATCACTGTTTCTTGAAGTTCTTGGTCCGTACAATCTGCCACTTCACCAATTGTTCTTTTTAGGTGCTTCAGCTGTGAGACAGCCTGATTAAAATCAGTCTCAGTTAGGTCTTTCACTTTCTCTTCAATGAGTTTGGTATGCTTGTCCCAGGTGTAAACAGGAGAGAGACCGAGAAAACTTAAGCATTTTTCGGCTGCTGATCGGCCTTTCCCAATTGCCCGAAAACCAACAACTGACGCACGATTTATTTCATAGATTTTCCCACTCTTTGGTGTAATTGGTAGAGGTTGGAATGTCTCAAGAGATTCACACGATTCATTCGTACAACGAAAGTTCCATTTAGCTCCAAGACCTTGCTTTGATCCAGCTTTTTCGACAATTTGTAGGGAATGGTTGCAGACTTTACAAACAGCAAAACAATCCAAAATCTCTTGCAACTTGTCTGGATTAATGATTAATTTCCACAGGGTTTTACGAAAGCAGACTCTACATGGGCTCTCTCGTCCTCGTGGTCCTGTAATTCGCAGTTGTCTGAGCTAGAACACTCACTGCTGCAATCAGTAATATCGGTGCCGTTATTTTCGCCGAGAGAAGCTTTCTTACTTTCTTCTAGTTTCCTTTTACTCACAGACACAGATGTACTTGCCAGTTCGGTTGAAGAATTAAGATTGCCCACCTCGTGTGGCCACTGTTTTTCCTGATCGAACCAAGACCCTTTGTCACTCGTCTTCAACGCTTCTCCGTTTACTTCGACAATACCAATTCGCTTGACACCACTTTTTCTTTTCCTGCGAGAGCAAAACGGACTAGTGTTTTTTCTTTGTGTCTTTGCCTTTTCGCTCCGCGAAGCCGACATCGCGCATAGCTTGAACTCGGAGAGATTCTGTAAATACTATATATTATTATACGCTTTCCAATGTTGTCGCAATGATATATGCCTCCGAACAATAACTAACCGCTTATACTTTAGTGAATTTCACACCTTGATATTTGACGCCAGCAAACTAAATTACTTCACACTTTTGTTTGGCAGAGTGACAATTCGAATCAATCATAATTACAAGTTTCGCACGAAGCTATTCAGTGGTCATAGAATTTTCCCCTATATCTCGGTCGCTTTTTAACATTTTCTTAAAAAAGTTGCTGGAATTGAGAGATATATCATTACTTAATATAAATCTATAAAAAAAATTTTTTGGACGAAATCAGAGTCTCATCATATAATGTAACCTTAAAAGTTATTTGAAAGAAAGAAAACAAATAGTAAAATATAAAGAATACATTTCATCAGAAATGACTATTACTACTGGTGTTCCTCAAGCATCAATACTTGGACCTTTGCTCTTTTTGTTATATATCAATGATATTGAAACTTGTAGTAATATTATATCATTTGTTTTGTATGCAGATGACACAAATGCTTTTTATTCAAATTCTTGCTTAACCTCTTTAATGAATATAATGCAAGAAGAAATGAATAAAATTATGAATTGCCTTAATGCTAATAAATTATCAATCAACGCTTCTAAAACGAAATTAATTCTTTTCAAATCAAAAAATAAAAAATTGGAATCTCATAATATTACAATAAAAATAAGAAATGAATTGATCCAAAAGGTCTCTTATACAAAATTTTTGGGTGTACTAATTGATGAAAATTTAATGTGGAAAAATCATATTGATTCTATATGTAAAACTATTGTCAAGTTTACTGGACTAATTTCAAAATTGCGACATTTTACGAACTTGAACACTATAAAATTGACCTATTATGCTTTAATTTATCCATACCTTACATATGGTAATTTAGCTCGGGGTAATACATACCCTTCGAAAATTAAAAAGCTTTTTAGAATTCAAAAAAAGATTATTCGATTAATGAAATTTAAATCATACACAGAACATACAAAACTGCTATTTAATGATTTGAAAATATTAAATATTTTCAAAATTAACGATTACCTTACCAGCTTATTTATGTACTGTTGCAACTGTACTAATGATTTACCCAACATTTTTAGTGGATACTTCATAAAAAATTCAAACATTCATAAACATTGCACGCGAAATTCAAAAAAATTGCATAAAGTTTATACAAGAACAAACTGTAGAAAACAATCTGTTGTTAGTAAAGGTATTGACATTTGGAATAATTTAAGTACTGAGTTAAAAAATATTGGATCATATATGGTTTTCAAAAAAAATGTGAAAACATACTTTATATCACACCAATCAGCTAATTAATCATCCTATTTTAATGTATAAATTAAGTTTAAAAAATCTGAAAAATCTTGTAAATAGACTAACTTTCCTTTAAACACTCTCACAATTGTATATATTTTCATCATTATATTATGTACCATTTTTATGACATGAAATTATACTAAGTAAAAAAAGTTTTGTTATAACTAGGGGTCTTAAAATAAAAGCCCAAATAGGGTTTCTAAACGATCTCTAGCCCTACGTATAGATTATAAAAATGTAAATAATTAAAAATTTTATTGTACTTTGGAAAATTGGGTGAAATAAATTAAAATTTAAAAAAAAAATTTTATTACACGGTCAGACATAAAATTTCAAATGCAACTAGTTGAGTCGTGCTGGGCTGAGGTCGAAACAGGTTCTGGAAAACCAAATATAATAATTGGTTGCATTTATAGACACCCAAGAGCAATGCTTCTGAATTTTCTTCACAATTGGACAAAATTATCAAAACATATTAAACCAAAAAAAGTATCAAGTGTTCTTAATGGGAAATATGAATATTGACTTCTTTAAATATAATGAACATACACAAACTGAGGAGTACCTTGGCATGCTATTTACAAATAGCTACTTACCTATAAATTTTAACAAAACCAACCCGAATCACTAGTCATAGTTCAACATTAATAGACCACATTTAT